AAAAAAAAAGGCACAGGAAAAAGACATTTAACCCTCAAAAGCATGACAATTAGACTAACAGCTATGTTCCATGTTTCTCAACAGTAGCAATGGAAACTAAAGGAAAGTAAAATACCTTCAACCTGCTGAAACAAATTAGCAAACCTTCCTCCCTAAACAGTCTATGGAGTCATCAAATGAGAGAATCAAGTTAACTGGATACCTGTTTAGTTTTAAATTAATCAAGGTCATGAGAGAGAAGTGGTGTAAAGATGTTTGTCTCTCAAGTGTAACTTCTTATACTTTCCCTCTTTGCCCATCCCTTGCCACAATTCTGGGTCCAAGAGTTTGACCTGTCCTAGCCTTCATTTCTAGTGACATGCACTTCTACTCTAGTCTTGTCACCTAAAACTATGGCCACTCTCTGGAGATGGTAGTCTTTGAGAGCTGCATCATCTCTGAAATCACAAATTCAAACATTCTCCTCTTAATCAATGATTTTCTATTTATCTTGAAGGGCTTCAATCATCATTTATACTAATAAATCCTAAATTTGTCTCTACAGTCTGAACATCTTTCCTCAACTTTAATGGAAGGTAATTTATGTAACTATTTGTCTGGATGCCTTATGAACATCCCAAACTCAACATGTTTTAAATGTAAAAATTCCCTTTCTCAAAACTAAACATATCTTCTTTAGCTCCATACCTGTTCCTCCCCTTTCTCCTCTGTCTATGTTTACTCTATCAGTTAACAGCACCAACAGCCACTCAGTTTCCTTAGCCTGAAATCAAAGTGCATTTACTTTCACTCTCTCCTATCCCATCCCTCTATGTCTAATCAATCACCATATCCTGTATTATTTTATCATTCTAATACAACTCCATTACTGCATTTCTAGTTGAAGCCAATATCATCTCTTCCCTGTATTACTGCAACCACTTCTAATCAGTTTCCTACCTCTAATCTCATGCTTCTCTATTTTATGCACAACTCTGAAATGGTATAATCTTTTGAAAAAAATAAAACATGATCATGTCACTTTTCTGTTTTAAAAGCTTTAATAATCTTGCACTTCTACTGGTGCAGAGTCCAAATGCCTACACATAGCTAACAAAATATTTACTCATCTTTCCAATTTCAACTCCTACCATTTCTTTCCTCTTGCTCTGTGTCTCAACTATATTGATCTTACTGCAGTTCCTTCAAAACACTTCTGTCATCTTAGGTTTGTACAATTATGTTTTTAGTTTGAATGGAAAGTTTTACCCCACACCCAATTGTTGTTGGATTACTCCCACTCATTTTACATGTATCAATTTAGAATATACTTTCTCCAGGTAAGTCTTTCTTGTACTTCTAAATTCTGATTAAATAAACCTCATCTCATTCTTACAGTAGCATAAACTTTTCCTACTATGTCATTTATTGTGCTTTATTTTAAATGTGTAATCATTTTTCTGTCTCCCTCTTTCATGGCAGAAACCATGTCTGTTTACCATTCTATCCCTAACACATATCACCCTGCCTAGCAGAAAGAATATGCTCAATAAATAGATAGATAAGATATTTACAATTGTGCATCTAGAAAGCCTGCATCTACAAAATGATAATATTCAGTTTCACAACTAAACTGGGGTCTTGTCTGTTCAGCTTTTCTTATGTTGTCAGAAACTGGACATATTTTACTCTATTCATTTATTTTTTTTACTCCTGCCAGTAAGCCTTCTATGGAATGTTTCTAAATAAATGGTACCAACCTGAAATGTCCAACCTCCCGAGAACAACTATTTGCATATACCAGGTTCACTTTCAAGTACATGGTCTCATTCTTATTGTCTTCTAAGAGTATTTGCTGATAGCTAGAGAAGACTAAGACCTCTGGTTCCCATTTCCAATTTTCCTGAGAATCTCTTGCTTACTAAGTCAATTACATGTAAGAGGTCCCCTAACTATTTTTAGTTGTTTTATATATAATCTTCACAGAGAGATCATAACTTATTTGAGGCAGGAACTACATCTTGGATATGATTTTTATATCCACAACAACTCTAACAGATTGTAGTTTATTGTGTTAATGACTTATTGGTAATAGCATCACATATCATAAAGAACGCAACTCAGGAAACAGGAGTGCAGGAGAAAATATAATTTAAATTAATCAACAAACACAAGATAAATTTTGTCTCAAACTTACATGACTTCGTCTAAACCTGAAAATCTTCAGAGTCACATGGTGGCGCTGCAGGATAAGATGACAAAATGTAACCCAGCAGATGCTCTGGTTTCCATTTGCTAGTGGAACTAAGAGTGCTGCAGAAACAGGAGAAAAGAGGTTTTCAAAAGAAAAAGGCTCCAACAACACACTTGCAACAGGATTACAAGTCCATAGATTCCCTAAGGTCCAATCTGATGGATAAGAGGAGCAACTCCCAGAGCTGCTAGAGATTGAGTTGAAACGTTTCCGCAGAAAGACGTTTGACTAAGAAGCCATGGAGCCGGGAGAGGGGAACGCTCAGCCGATAAGGCAAGTGCTGCTTTTCTTTGTTTTCCTGGGAGGGTCTTTGGTGTGTTCTGATACCTGGAGCTATTCTGTGGCAGAGGAAACTGAGATCGGCTTCTTTATAGGCAACGTGGTGAAAGACATGGGTTTGGGTGTGGAAGACCTGGCTGTGCGGGGGGCCAGAGTCATCTTCGACGACTATAAACCATATTTGCAGTTGGATATCCAGACTGGCAACTTGCTCTTAAATGAACAACTAGATCGGGAGGCACTTTGCGATTTCACTGAGCCGTGCATATTGCATTTCCAGGTGTTATTTGAAAATCCTTTGCAATTTTTTCGGGCTAAGCTTTCAGTCACAGACATAAATGACCACACTCCCACGTTCCTAGACAAACATATACTTCTAAAAGTCTCAGAAGGTACTACTCCGGGAACCTCATTCCAAATGGATAGTGCTCAGGACTTGGATGTAGGAAAGAATGGTGTCCAAAACTATACAATAAGCCCTAACCCCCATTTCCACCTTAAATTGCAAGACACTGATGAAGGCAGAAAATACCCAGAGCTGGTCCTGGACCAATCTCTGGATAGAGAAAAGGAACCTGAGCTTAGTTTAACACTAACAGCCTTGGATGGCGGATCTCCACCCAGATCCGGCACGACACTGATTCGCGTTGTGGTCCTGGATATCAATGACAACGCCCCCAAGTTTGAGAGGCCAGTCTATGAGGTTCAGGTACCAGAAAACAGCCCTGTGGACTCCTTAGTCATCAAGGTGTCCGCTACAGATTTAGATGCAGGAATAAATGGAGAACTACTTTATTCATTTTCCCACGTCTCTAGAGACGTGCGGGAAACATTTGAAATCCATCCAATTTCTGGTGAAGTCCATTTAAAAGCACTTCTAGATTTTGAGATAATTCAGTCTTATGCAATAAATATTCAGGCCATTGACGGTGGGAGCCTTTCTGGAAAATCGGCCATTTTAGTTCGGGTTGTAGATGTGAATGACAACCCACCAGAAATAGTCGTGACATCTATTACCAGCCCAATACCGGAAAACTCTTCGCCTGAGATGGTGGTCGCTGTTTTCAGTGTACGAGACCAAGACTCTGGAAACAACGGGAAAATGGTTTGTTCAATTCAGGACAACCACCCCTTTCTCTTGAAGCCTACCTTCAAGAACTTTTATACCTTAATAACAGAGAGTGCACTAGACAGAGAAGCAAGAGCCGAGTA